ATGGCAATTGACGTATTTCATAGGGTCTTTACTATATAACTGCACGTTTGACAGCCTTTTGCCCACAGATCGTACGTCCTCGATCTGACTGTGTGCAGTAGCCACCCACTGACTGAGGGGATGGGCAGCAAGAACTGTTTAATAAAATGAGGCCATACATCAATCAATAACCTCACCTAAAAGCTAGCCAAAGGCCCTCTATAGGATTTAAACAGTCCACCCCGTTTTTCAGTATATTATTCAGCTTGCCTAACAATGTCTCTGTCTGTCTTTCTCAATGTACACGACACGAGTGGATCGCAATATATCAGCGTTCGGAAGGTTGGAGGTTATTCTGGCAAACTAACTGTCCTGTTTGGTAACCTCAAGGGCTAAAACAGACAAATGACATATAAACAACTCATGTACAGGATGTACATCATGCTGGATGTTTCTAATATGCCAATGTAACGTGCATTTAGACTTCATATAGGGCTGAGCGATACTGTAGCTAAACAAGAAAATTCTATATTTTTCAGCCTTTTGATTATATTCAGTCTTTATGTATTTGTACTGAAAACAGTGTTATTATTGTTAACAAAAACTATTAAAAGCATTTTGTTAATTGAAATAAAATAAAATATAAATGTTATTTGATTTCAAATTAAAGAACTAAAATTACTAATTGTGAATAAGGCAGCGGCTATTTACACTAAGTATAAATAGCGATAGCTGCTATTTACGCTGTTTAAATAGCAATAGATTCTATTTACACTAAGTGAACTGAAAATAGCTGCATTTTAGCAATATGATATTTACACAATGAAGATAGTGATAGATTCTATTTACACTATGAAAAAATAAAACTATTAAGTATAAATATTAGTTAGATGCTATTTATACTTATAAATGGTGGCAGATACTATTTGCACCTCAGTGTTGTTGTACATTAAACGGTATGCAAAAATAAAATGGAGTGTAAATGATTATATTTATTACAATTATTAAATGGATGTCGCCTTATTTGGACAATAAAGCCCTCCCTAAACCTAAGCCTAACCGATAAACACTCTATTATTAAACACACGTTAGACACTTTATTTTCACTTTTCAAATATTTTCCTCATTTTAATTGAAAATAAATGCCTTTCCGATTTGATATGTGATGGGAAAAGGAAATAGAGCATAAGGCGGATTCGAACTCGGTACGATTTGCGTCAAAACTTTCTGCAACACCCCTTTACCCCTACTCTATTGCTAATGTTGTCAGCCAGCATCTTCTGTAATTTTGTCTGGCTCAACCAGACGTAAGTGGGCGGAGTTAGTGTATAGCCTCTACCAACAAGGTGGGCTATTTGCACTTTAATAATAATAATAATAAATTTTATTTGTAAAGCACTTTACATTTGACCCAAATCTCAAAGTGCTACAATAAAACATAATAAAAAAATTAAAGTAAACAATACAATAAAGACTAAAAACACAACATGTCAAACGGCGGGACTAAAAACAAACGTTAGTTATTAAAATAAGCCTGTGTAAAAAGATGAGTTTTTAGTCCTTTTTTAAAATTGTCAACTGTTTGTGGGGCCCTAAGGTGGTCTGGGAGCGCATTCCACAGGCAAGGAGCGGAATGCGGAATAAAGAATAAAGATTTTTACACTTTAGTGTAAAAAGTTATAAAAAAAATTTACTAATGATATTAAAAATGACAAAGCACACGACTAACAAAACATAAAATAAAAGCTAATTCTATATATTTATAAAAACAATAAAAGTAAATAAATAAAACTAAAATAACACTGACTGAAATTCCTTAAAGGGATTAAATCTTTTAATGAAAGAAGTAAAAAAAAAAAAAAAAAAAAAAACGTTTTCAAGATGGTTTCAGCATTGTTATTAATCATTTTTATTCAAATGCACCAAAACATTATTATTGAATAATTTTAAAGCATTTAAATTATGATTCAAATACTCACTGATGATGATTCAAATTATAAAACCAAAAAATGTATTGTAAATATGTGACATACTGTATACTGTAGCTCAGCCCTATTGATTACCCAGCAGCTTTTGATATCATTCTTCAGATACCGTGGAATGATGCATCAGTTCTGCCACGAGAACAAAAATGGCGTTTTAAGCTATGATGCTAGATTCGTTTAGCCATAGTTTGGCTCTAACAAAAGCAACTCAACATCCCTCTGTGCAGGAGTCACCAAACGGATGCATCAATGGGTTTCAGTCTCTCATTAAAAAAACCTGCACTGCCCCTTTAAGGCAGCATTTCCTTTTTTTGTCAGTTTCCTGCTGCAGCCTGATAATAACGGCCACATTCAGCAAGGCAACGACAACACACAGCTCTATAATTCCCTGTGTTATTGTCTGGAATCAGTGCTACCTTCAGCTCCATCACCACCTGTAGTGCAGGGCCAAGGGAGTGCGACTTTCTGGATTATGTGAAAGTGAAGAGAACGCAACTATTTTTAGCAGCAGGAATGGACACAATGTGTTGAGGTTGTGAGCTGCTAAAGCACACATATGCCAGCTGAGACAATCAGACAGAGTCCAAATACAAGTTTATTCCTGCTGTTAAACAGCAACACATAAGTGCAATGTTACACTGTGGTGGATTACTGTTCTGGCATTTCTTCTTCCTGAAAAACTGACCTGTATACTTTGATGTAGGGTAGTTGCAAACTGTAGTACAATGAAACGTGTAGGATTTACAAAAAAAAAAAAAAAAACTATAGTAAACAATTTTCATTCAGAAATTGCTAGTATATTTCACAAATAATTACAAAGAAATGCCAAGTAACATTGAATTTATAGTGTATGTCTTAAAGGGGAATTACGTCATTTGTCTATGCACCATAGGCTAATATTAATCAGAGACTAGCAAACTTGAATATCACTTCCTCTGTACTGATTTTCTTCCCACCTAAAGTTATGTATAAATTAAACCTTTCACTTTCTACACTGTTTTAGGATCTGATCGCATCTAAACCCAGAGCTTCTCACTCCTGAAATGAACTGGTACCAGTCTTAGATCACCTCCAAAAGTAAGGTCGACTTCTACCAACAGCTCTGGGTTAACCACCTCCCTGCCCTAAAATTGCTGTTGCTCTTCCTGTCTTTGAGAGGATAAGAGAGTCTGTCCACGACTCTGGACTCACAAAACACTTAATAATAAGGCCACTCTATGAACTAGATGTGAACACTAACCAACAACGAGAATACAGATGGTACAATGAACAATGACTAGGCCTATTCATGGCATGCAAGCAAACATTCAACAACATGTAACATGTTAACATGTAAGCAACAGCAGACATAGGACACGGATGGTTTCAGAAAGATATTTCATTCCTTTCCCTCACAGACAGAGTGAGATACAGTGGTCCCAAATTTGGACACTTTAAACACTTTATACATGTATGAATGCCTGTGCATTAGCTAGCACAAAGATTCAGACAGAACATTTCACAAATGTGAAAATATTAAACAACTGATAAGCTTTGAAGACTCACACTTTCTGGTAGTCAAATGTTAATAGAACATGTTCATAGTTGATGTGACCATCCACACCTGTGGTCAGACTGACTTCATTCATCCATTAAAATTGATACTGGAAGCAGTTAGTTAAAAGTGATAACAAATAATTGTGAAATGTAAAGTTAGTATCACAATGTCTAGCACTGTTTGCTTACAGATGATTTTATATTTAGGTATCTAGGTATTATCTATTGCAGGTATTCCAAAAAAAATATTACATAACAGTACCCTCTGATCTCTGATCCTCTTTAGGTTAATATATCAATAATGATACCAGAGCAGAAGGGACTAATGAGGCTGTGATCAACAGATACAAGAGCTTTTAGTCTAGCTGAGAGAAAAAAGGGAGAGGAAAAAGAGGAAGATGGTGAAAAAAGGGAGAATGTTTAAGACTTGACAAGCAAACGGGCTTTGGAGAGCTGGTGTTTACAGGTGTTCCAACTTGATTTTTATTGAATATCTGCAATGAAAAGGTCAAAATGCAGTCAAATGAGGTTAAAAAAGCTATACATTTCAAGCATTTCTTTTGCTACTGCAGTTATCGTTGTTCTGCTTTAAAGTATGTTATCTCTACACTAGGAACAAAAAGGGACCGTGACAGCCACAGTTTTGCAACACAAGGCAAACCCCCTGGTATAAAATCCCCTTGACGTCAGTGAGATTACACACAGTATTCACTTTAGATTCAGCATGCCTTCGGTATGCCTTCACTCGGAGCTGGCCATTCCCATGCTGTGAATCTAGCACCTGAAGAGCAAAGTACCTGACCGTTCTGGTAGCGGTTGCATGTCTTAAAGCGCAAAACACTACTTATCCCTTTGTTGAGCTCATGAACAGTTTGAAGCGATGGCGCTCTGATAGTGTTGGTCATCATGTGAATGTGCCATTGTCTCAAGAATACAAATTCAGATGTGAAAGTCGCCAAAACAGAGGAACACAACCATGTGACTCTCATGCTAAGAACACTTAGCATGCAGCACCTGACTAACCATGCAGTCTGAAAACAGCCAGCGAGAGAGAGCTCTTAAACCAGCAGAAGTGGGCCGTCAGCAGGGCTAGTGGCATGCGTATGCTATATCACAGTGCTGACGGTGCCCGGAGGTGACTCTGCAAGCAGTGAGTGAAGCAGTCCTCCCTTCATAGAGAATCTGTTTCTGAACATTTAAGGAGACAAAGGCATCTACTACTTGTGCGTCACACCAATAACAAACACACTTTTAGGCGTAATTCCCCAAAGAAATGCAATCTTCAAAGACTAGCTTCTAATTTCCTACTCCTGCAGCCATCCAAACCCTGCCAATCCACATTATTCATTAAAAATGGTGGCTACAAGCTATCATAATTTACCCCAGAAAGCCTACAATTGAAACCGTGCCCAAAGCTTTTAAGGTGGTGTACACTGCATTGCGAATGCATTCAATTTATTAAACAATGCGTCCTTGCTTTCACACATTTTAGGCACTTACCTTGATGGGGTTTGTACTGAAACAAATCTTCCTGCTGGGGGGTGGTTCATCTTCTACAGGCAACCCAGGGATTTCTGAAGAGCTGGATTCTGGTTCATAAGCTTCATCTTCCTCAGCCTCCTCATCTTCGTCCAGCTGACTTCCACCAGAGTCCTCTCCGATCCCGCTGTATGCGCTGATGTCCACCAGATCTGCTTCTGAGATATCCTCTCTGTGGGATTCCTCCTCAGCATAGACCTGTCCAATTTCCTCTCTTTGTTCTGAGGGCTCATGGCTTCTGGTGGCCTCCCCGTTTTCCAGAGAGGCGTGGACATCCGCCTGTACCAGTCTGCTCCCTGCATCCGGTGCTGCATGCTCCCCTGGTATGGAATCATTGCTTGATGCATTCTGGATCTCCTCTGACCTGGACGTATCGAAAACTGTGCCAGCACTGTCAGAAGCCACATCCTTGGATGGTTTGCTATTGGGTCCACCAGGTTGGATGCTTGTTCTACTCTTCGGACTCCCAGGTGCAGCTTCTTGGTCAATGCGCTGAGCTCCCTCCTCTTGATTTTCTGTTGGAGAGAAGGCTCGTGCCTTTCTGGTGGTGACTTTGGAGTTGATTTCTTCCACCTTGGCCGGGGTAGAAGGCAGCGGGGAGGTTGAGGATGGTCGGTGAAGGTTGTTACGCTGGTCTACTCTTTCAAATACTGCGCTCAGCTGGCTGACCGTAGGGGACACTGCATCTGCGGGACAGTCGCCTGCATCCAGCCTGTCCAATGACTCAGTGCTGCCATTGAAGCGAACCACCACGTCCAGACGACTGTCTTGGAACCCTGACGCCCGCTCTTTCTTTAACAGGATTCGATTAGTCGCTGCCTGCTTCTCCTGCATGTGACGTTGTTCAAATATCTTCCGTGTCTCCTGCAGCTTGGAGATGCCTGTGGTTGATCCACGGGATCCGCTACCATCAGTCTTTCCATCGAAGCGGCTAACCCGCTCTGACACAGTCCCGCCGAGTTTGAGCAGTGCACTGTGATCCACATTCTCATTTAGACTGCTTGCTCTGGGAAGGGACAGTCGGATCGTCTGGTCTGGGGCTTTGGCCTTCGACGGATCCTCTTCATCCCCGGGAGAACCCATCTGCATGAACATGTTCTTGATGCGATGCACATTGGAGCCGTACCTGCGGCCCCGGCCCTGTGGTCGAGGTTTCCCATCCTCCCCATTAGCAGCACTGGAATCTTTTACCGGCTTGAGAGATTGAATTCCAGCCTCATAGGCATTCCTGTGCGGCGATGCACTTCTTGCTACAAGGGTGGTGCTAGTGCTGCCGCTGGCTGCAGATGGGGGTTCAGTCTTCATCATGGTTAATCAAACAGCAGTAAAGACAAGTAGAAACAGCATAGCCCTCTGCTTCTCCTCCTTGTTGAATAAATAAGTAGAGGCAGCCATCAGGATCAGTCCATCATCAGCCAAAAAAGAGAAGAAAGTAGAAAGTATGAATAAGACAAAAAATAAATGACATATTTTATCAGATTATAAATCTATAAAGGGTGGCCCTTTAAACACTAAATCCACACTTATAAATGTGTGAACTTCATTGTATTATTAGATTAAAAATTATGGGATGAATGAATTAGGCTAAATCGCTTTGTAAGTCATTTGTACGTTTTTTTCTCATTTGTAAGTGGATTTGGATTAAAAGCCTCTGGTAAATTAAAACATTTAAATGTAAAATATTAAACCAAGTGACATCTGCAGACAAATTATGCTAGGCCTGTTCTCAGAACTCAAGTTCAAACATAAAGTTCACATAAAGTAAAGATGAAAGAGACCTGGTTTGATATTTTGCATCTAATGCAATGGCATTCATTCATTTTAAGTGTAGTTTTAAATGCCAACATATGTTTTACAACTCAGTAGGGGCCACACATACCATAAACAGTAGCTGCTCACTGCAAACACCTACATGTTTAGTACCATAATGTGTGTTTTTTAGCATTCATTGACAGCTCTCCCATGGCCACACAGATGCCCCAGGGTCATAAAGCCAGAAAAGACACATTCTCAGACACCTCTTACTTTGTTTTAGAGTTAACTTAAAATTGCACTAAAACAGGAGTAAATGAAGATTTAAGACTAATTTTAATTTAGAACCTTTTAAATAAATAAAAAAAACAAGTAAATAAATAAATACAGGCCCAATACATACAAATATGAACAATATCAAAGACTGTAAAGGAAACGGTTTACGCACTGATGCGAAACACTTCCGTAGGCCTACTGTAATTTCTTTGAGAAGTACTTTCAACTATAGCCCACATCTCAAATATCAATGCTTTCATTGTTTTCATAAACATAAACTATTCATTTTGGCAGACAACAGTATTTAAATAAGACTGGCAGCTGTGCTTTGGAACATGGTAGCTCGTTTCTAGATGGCGATTAGACAGACCATCTTAAACCAGCAACAAACCATCTTAAAGTGGCCGAACTGGTTTTTAGAGAAAATTTTCAGCTTGAACAAGAAAATTAACGTTACCAACTAGAAGCCTGCAGCTACCATGTTACAAAACGCAGCTCCAACAGGGTTGGATCTCTGTAGACGTCAAATTTATCTTTCTGTCAGATAAAGGAAGTCAGATCATGAACGAAACCGTAAACAGAGGCACAAGAACATGAGACCATTTCAAGTCATTTGATATATATTTAACGGTGCACAAATCCTTGGTAAATACCATGCATACTGGCATGGACAGGCAGGCTTTGTTGTGATCCCATGCTGCTGCTGATGCCAGTAGATTACTTATCTTGGCAGCATGAAACAACCAGCCTTCAGGCGCCGAAACATCAGCTGTCGTTTTAATTTCGCTTAGATCGAGAGGTTCCTAGTGTGCAAGACAAACCAAATCGCTGATTAATATGGTAAACTGTAAAATATATATTTTCTGCGCCGCTGATTGTGTTGAAGGAGTGTCAAGAGATTGAGGTTGCAGCCTGTCAAAACATCACATTAGGACCCTGCGGAGCGGGCCGCTCTCGCTCTCTCTCTCTGCAATGATGCCTCGACTTCCTGCATCCTCTACCGTCCAAATAACGGTTCCTACCGTTAGAATCAAAGAAAACGAGGAAAAGCGCAACATACAACGTGCCGCGCTCTACTAAAAAAACTGAACGTACCTTGTTTCTCGTGTTCATCGAAGACTCCGTCCTTTAATCAACGCAAAGTCCATTGGTTCGCAAATCCATTGTGTCCACGAGCCGTTTTCGCCCTCTTGATTTCCCCCCACGAGCGTGTGACGCGCATGCCCCCTCCTCTCTCTCGCTCTCCCCGCTTGCTCTCTCCCCGCTTGTGCCCTTCTCTCCTCTTCACAGCACACAGCATCGCAGGTTATTTTAACCTTTTAAGCATAATACGATACATATACACCGGTAACTTGCACAACAATATTACACAGCAGCAGCATATAAAGTAGTAGTACAGTCAGTACGCTAGACAGAAGCAAATATTTTATAAAGCATAGGCAACCATGTGTATATTAGTTACATCCCGTTTTAATAAACTCTCTTCCTGTATTTCTTTATTTAAATATTCTTATGTTCTTTATTTTTCTAACCATAAATAGATGTATAGGCTACTTTAAATGTGGTATATTCCATATGTGAATTCGCCCTATTTTATTTTATTTTTTCCTTGTTCCCTTCCTTTATTTACTTTTCCATTTCTTATCATTCTTTAATTCGACCTATGTTCTATTTCAGGACTATAAATGGTTTCAATGTAATGAAAACTGCTGACAAATCCTGCCAATATGCTACATTCTGACGAGACAGACAGACAGACAGAGATAGATGCAGATTATGTACTGTTTCCTTTGAATCTCTAAAACAAACCACTGCAATCAATGCCTACAAGAAAGACACACTTCAGCGACATGTGGCCCTCTTTCTGGGCAAATCCTGGTGTGTAGAGAGCGACATCGTGTGGGGAGTTTTAGAAGTTCAGAATATCCCTAACCATTATCCAGACTGTAGCCAGGACAGCGGTATGGAATCCCACACCCTGGGGAGTCTTTGTTACACTTCCATTCTGTGATTGTGGAAACCGTGTCTGTGGACTCTGAATATGGACTGAAGATGAAGTGGGACAGCCTTTTCAGCTCCATTTGCATTGGAATTTGACATGCTGCTGCAAAGAAATTTGAATTAAGGGATAAAGAAGATTTTTACTCAGCCCATGATGTTGCACACTGCAGGCACAAAAGATAGACAGATCATCTGTGACAATCTTGTTTGTAGGCTAGGAATCGTGTACAGGAGCTATGAGCTGGCCAACGAACACGCATATTATTTGACTACAATATGACTTTTTAAATATTTTGGATTGACAATGACCCACATTATCAGTTTTTTGTAGATAACAAACTCATCAAAAAAAAAATTTGATTTCATGTGTAACTGAAATGGTTGCACAAAAATAGCATTAGAAAACCTGAATATACATACTATTTATGAAACCGGTTAATTCAAAGTTACTGTATAGAGAAGTGTGACTCTCTCATTATGTTCCTGGTGACAGCAGAGCAGCAGGAGCAGATGATTGAGACTTCCTCAGGGACTCAGAACAGCTGAACGCTGCAGTCTCTTTGCTAACATCTGTGTGGTTTGCCCCAGCAACACCTCCATATTGCCTGCCATGGTGACCCATATTTCCTCTGATAGCCTACTAATCTCACTACTCACATAACACACACACACACAGACTCCCACTGCACTGGGGTTTTATGCATGAGTGTGTTCATTGAAATCGGATCACACTAGCTATTGTTTGTTTGACATTGATCAGACTCAAAGAGATCACAGGGTGCCACCTCTGGATACTGAACTGCTCCACATGCATCATTGCTCAGTTCATTATTATCCTGTATAGGTGAGTAAATAGCCCAGGAGTTGGTGACGAAAAAGGTAGCATGCAGTGTACGTAAGTGTACGTAAAGCAGATTATTGATAATCAAAAGAATGATATGTTAGATTCCCCTGTTATCATTAAATTAATTTTTTTAACCTTTTCCAGTTCTGCAGTTTAGCCTACATTGTTATGAATTGTGTAGATTGTGTTTAATTTTCCAGAAAAAAAAGAAAATCAGTCAACATCCCAAACAATATGCTACCACATTTCATGCCCTATAGGAATCAACGTGTCTTAGGTATTTGGTTATACAGGTCCTTCTCAAAAAATTAGCATATTGTGATAAAGTTCATTATTTTCCATAATGTAATGATAAAAATTAAACTTTCATATGTTTTAGATTCATTGCACACCAACTGAAATATTGCAGGTCTTTTATTGTTTTAATACTGATGATTTTGGCATACAGCTCATGAAAACCCAAAATTCCTGTCTCAAAAAATTAGCATATCATGAAAAGGGTCTCTAAACAAGCTATTAACCTAATCATCTGAATCAACTAATTAATTCTAAACACCTGCAAAAGATTCCTGAGGCTTTTAAAAACTCCCAGCCTGTTTCATTACTCAAAACCGCAATCATGGGTAAGACTGCCGACCTGACTGTTGTCCAGAAGGCCATCATTGACACCCTCAAGCAAGAGGGTAAGACACAGAAAGAAATTTCTGAACAAATAGGCTGTTGCCAGAGTGCTGTATCAAGGCACCTCAGTGGGAAGTCTGTGGGAAGGAAAAAGTGTGGCAAAAAACGCTGCACAACGAGAAGAGGTGACCGGACCCTGAGGAAGATTGTGGAGAAGGACCGATTCCAGACCTTGGGGGACCTGCGGAAGCAGTGGACTGAGTCTGGAGTAGAAACATCCAGAGCCACCGTGCACAGGCGTGGGCTACAGGTGCCGCATTCCCCAGGTCAAGCCACTTTTGAACCAGAAACAGCGGCAGAAGCGCCTGACCTGGGCTACAGAGAAGCAGCACTGGACTGTTGCTCAGTTTTGCATGTCATTCGGAAATCAAGGTGCCAGAGTCTGGAGGAAGACTGGGGAGAAGGAAATGCCAAAATGCCTGAAGTCCAGTGTCAAGTACCCACAGTCAGTGATGGTCTGGGGTGCCATGTCAGCTGCTGGTGTTGGTGCACTGTGTTTTATCAAGGGCAGGGTCAATGCAGCTAGCTATCAGGAGATTTTGGAGCACTTCATGCTTCCATCTGCTGAAAAGCTTTATGGAGATGAAGATTTCATTTTTCAGCACGACCTGGCACCTGCTCACAGTGCCAAAACCACTGGTAAATGGTTTACTGACCATGGTATTACTGTGCTCAATTGGCCTGCCAGCTCTCCTGACCTGAACCCCATAGATAATCTGTGGGATATTGTGAAGAGAAAGTTGAGAGACGCAAGACCCAACACTCTGGATGAGCTTAAGGCTGCTATCGAAGCATCCTGGGCCTCCATAACACCTCAGCAGTGCCACAGGCTGATTGCCTCCATGCCACGCCACATTGAAGCAGTCATTTCTGCAAAAGGATTCCCGACCAAGTATTGACTATTGAGTGCATAACTGAACATAATTATTTGAAGGTTGACTTTTTTTTGTGTATTAAAAACACTTATTTTATTGGTCGGATGAAATATGCTAATTTTTTGAGACAGGAATTTTGGGTTTTCATGAGCTGTATGCCAAAATCATCAGTATTAAAACAATAAAAGACCTGAAATATTTCAGCTGGTGTGCAATGAATCTAAAATATATGAAAATTTAATTTGTATCATTACATTATGGAAAATAATGAACTTTATCACAATATGCAAATTTTTTGAGAAGGACCTGTATAGAAATAGGCTAGTCCAGTTCCCCCTAGTTGCATTGAGGCAGATTTAGAACCCAGGTTGGTCATGCAGGTTTGTTTACGTGGCCACATATGTCATTGCCTCAATATAGGATCTTGACATAAGGATGTTTGTTACCTCCACAAAATTATCTTGCATTGTGGCCACAATAACCGGGACCCAGGAATAGACTTTTGTCAACTGTAGTGGACATTATATTTCAGTGAATTTCTCTGACACCATACATGTTTTAAGTTTGGATGTCCTGTAAAGAGCACATTCAGAGAAACCAAATGTTTTGAGGTTTCACCATGACAACAACTTCTCCATGGTCTTTAAAAATGACTGACATTAATTTAGTGATCAAATGTAGCACCCTTATGGAAATATGATAATATATTGCAATTATATTTCATTATAATTATAATTAAATCGGACTACTTTTCATAAACCAACATCTCAGGAGAACGTTATGGGGTTTCAAATCAAAATATGACTTTCTGTTACAGAACAGGGCATTGATTTCATACATGTCCACTGTAGTGATTTGAACACCAGGACTTAAATAATGTTTATCAGGCATTTTGGGGAACACAACAAGTGAATAGGGAAATAAATTATACATCAATATTCTTTAGAAATATTAGATATTATTATTAAAATGTTGCCAATTATTACTCTTACACTTCTTTTTCATTACATGTTTCCTCAAGAACACATTAATATGCGAATTAGATACAGTAGATACATTGTATTGAATGTGAATATTCATTAATGGCATATTGCATAAAGTGAAATGGTGTATCAATTAATTCCGTTATATCTTTCACAACATAGCCTTGAGTATCATCTTTATACAAATTTTGGTTGAAACTCAAAAATTGATTGGTGAATGAAAAAAAAAATCCCATTGTTTTTGCCTATATGCAATTTCATGTAATTTTTGTTTTTAACAAAAGAGTCCTGGTGTTCATTACAGAGGACATAGCATAACTATAATTGTTTTTTTTTCTTCTTTCTACCATTTGTTATTCTTATGCTCTAAACAATGTGATGATGTAACCGGTGGCTCGCGACACCAGTTATAAAAGCACTTGTCTGCGTTGTGTAGAAAGACACGGGACAACAGGCGGCGGTTTCACTGGATTTACTCTGTCTGATATACACAAACAAGAGAAGCATCTGTATAAATGACCCTCAAATTGCTCTCTTCAGTGCATTAACAATGCCAAGAGCAAGAAATACAGAGAAAACATACCTGATATACACAAACAAGAGAAGCATCTGTATAAATGACCCTCAAATTGCTCTATAACACAAATGTGATGTACATTTAAATCACCATGTGCTTTCATTTCCACATATATAGACCAAAGTCAAAAATATAACTTAAATAGGGAAAAATGATCAAAATAACCACACAGATAAGTAAAATAACATAATAGACATAAATTGCAGTGAAGATTTAGACACAAAAGCAACAATTAAAATAAAGATTAATTAAGATTGACAGGAGCCAAAAAT